CCCTCCCCTCCTCCCGTGCCCTTCCCCCAACCCCCCCATTATCCCCTCATTTCCCCAGGGAGGGTGAGGCCCTCCATGGGGGTGTCCATAGTCTGTCATTTCATATAGGGCAGGGCCTAGACCCTCCCCCAAGAGTTCAGGGTGAGAGTGCACCTCATATTGTTGGATGGGAGTCCAAAGTCCATGTGTATACTCGGGATGGGTAGTGATCTGCTGCCCAAGGCTCAATAGATTACCTAGGCCTGGTGATCCCCAGATTCTAATGAGTGAGCCTATATTAAAAGTCAGGAGCTCGAGGCCGGGCATTGGTGGTGCACACCTTTAATCCCAGCACTTGGGAGGCAGAGGCAGGCAGATGAGTTCGAGGCCAGCCTGGTCTACAGAGCTAGTTCCAGGGCAGCCTTCAAAATATTACAGAGAAACCCTGTCTCAAAAAAAAAGTCAGGAGCTCTCCCACGCCTCTGTGCCCAGCTCCAGGTGACCTTGGGTCCTCCTGGGGACCCCTTCCCTGCCCATCACCCACTCCGGCAATCTTCCTAAGCTGATCCCAGCATCGAGAGGACCTGCCACACAGGACCCCACTCCCGGCTCTTCCCACACGTATGTGCCCAGCTTCAGGAAAGAAGGAGACCAGTGGAGACAGGAAGACCCCATCTGCACCTACTAGAAGAAGGGATGGGAAGACGACAGAATAAGAACACACTCAGCAATAGGAAGACCAATATGACTCCAGCAGAATCTAGAGACCCCACACCAACAAGACCTAAAAAGCACAACATAGATGAAGCAAAAGAGACAAACTTTCACTATTTGCAGATGATATGATAGTTTACATAAGTGACCCAAAGAACTCTACCAGGGAACTCTTATAGCTGATCAACACCTTCAACAAAGTGGCAGGATACAAGATTAACTAAAAAAACATTAGGCCTACTATATACAGATGATAAAAGGGCTGAGAAAGAAATCATAGAAACATCACCCTTTACAATTGCCACAAACAACATAAAATACCTTGGGGTAACCCTAACCAAACAAGTGAAAGACCTGTATCGCAAGAACTTTGAGTCTTTAAAGAAAGAAACTAAAGAAGACACCAGAAAATGGAAAGATTACCCATGTCTTAGGTAGGATCAACATAGTAAAAATGGCAATCTTGCCAAAAGCAATGTACAGATTCAATGCAATCCCCATTAAAATTGCAGCACAATTCTTCACAGACCTTGAAAGAACAATTCTCAACTTTATATGGAAAAACAAAAGACTCAAGATAGCCAAGACAACCCTGTTCAACAAAGCAATGTACAGAGGCATCACCATCCCTGACTTCAAGCTCCATTATAGAGCTATAGTCCTGAAAACAGCTTGGTATTGGCACAAAAATAGACAAGTAGACCAATGGAATTGAATCGAAAACCTTGATGTTAACCCACAAATGTATGAACACTTGGTTTTTGACAAAGAAGCTAAAAATATACCATGGAAAAAAAGAAAGCATCTTCAACAAATGGTGCTGGCATAACTAGATGCTGGCATGTAGAAGACTGCCGATAGATCCATGTCTATAGACATGCACAAAACTTAAGTCCAAATGGATTAAAGACCTCAACATATATCCAGTCACACTGAACCACTTAGAAGAGAAAGTGGGGTGCACTCTTGAATGAATTGGTACAGGAGACCATTTCCTGAATGTAACACCAGTAGTACAGACACTGAGATGACAATTAACAAATGGGACCTCCTGAAACAGAAGTTAGGCAAAGGACACAGTCAACAAGACAAAAAGGCAGCCCACAGAATGGGAAAAGATATTCACTATCTCCACATCTGACAAAGGGCTGATCTCCAAAATCTACAAAGAACTCAAGAAGCAAGTCTCCAAAGTACCAAAGGATTCAATTAAAAAGTTTACAGAACTAAATACAGAATACCCAATAGAGGAGTCTAAAATGGCTGAGAGAGGCTTGAGAAAGTGCTCAACATCCCTAGCAATTAGGGAAATGCAAATCAAAAGAACTCTGAGATACCATCTAACTCCTGTCAGAATGGCTAAAATAAAAAATAAATAAATAAACCACCCATGACAGTTTATGCGGAGAGGATGTGGAGAAAGGGGAACACTTCTCCACTGCTGGTGGGAGTGCCAACTTGTACAGCCGCTGTGGAAATAAATATGGAGATTCCTCAGGAAAATGGGAATCAGTTTACCATAATACCCAGCAATCCCACTCTTAGGCATATACCCATAGTGGACGTCTGTTACACTATGTTTATAGCAGCATTATTTGTAATAGCCAGAACCTGGAAGCAACCTAAATGCCCCTCAGCTGAAGAGTGGATAGAGAAAATGTGGTACATTTACACAATGGAGTACTACTCAGCAGAAAAAAAAATGGAACCTTGAAATTCGCAGGCAAATAGATGGTACTAGAAGAAACCATCCTGAGTGAGGTAACCCAGTCACAAAAATACAAACATGGTATGTACTCACTCATATATGGATTTTATACATGGATCAGGGGAGTGACAGCCTACAATCCCACTGCCAGAGAGTCTGGGAAACAAGAAGGACCCTAAGAGAGATATGCATGGTACCCCAGAGAAGGTGGAATGAGGCAAGACCTCCTGAGCAGATTGGGAGCATGGGGGAGGGAGAGGAGAGGCAGCCAGGAAAAAGAGAGGGGGAGGAGAGGAGAGAGGAGGACATGGGGGAGAAGGAAGATTGAGTTGGAGGAAGAATAGAGGAGAGCAGGATGAGAGATACCATAATAGAGGGAGTCATTCTAGGTTTGAGGAGAGATCTGGCACTAGTGAGATTTCCAGAGATCTACAAGGATGACACCAACTGGCAAACTAAGACTGCCTTAAGTGCCCCTCTCTGATAATGATTTTGATGACTATCTTATATACCATCCTAGAATCTCCATCCAGTGACAGACAGAAGCAGAGGCAGACACCCACAGCTAAACACTGAACTCAACTCCTGGAACCCAGTGACAGAGAGGGAAGAGTGGAAGAGTGATGAGCAAAGGGGTCAAGACTGGGCTGGTGAAACTGAGAAACAACTGACCTGAACAAGGGGGAGCTCTTGGACTCCAAACTGATGGCTGAGGGGCCAGCATGGGATTGATCCAGACACCCTGAACATGGGTGTCAGTGAGGAGACCTAGGCAATCTGTGGAGCTTTGGGTAGTAGATCAGTATATATCCCTTGCACACAAATGGACTTTGGGCTCCCATCCCATAATGAGGGATGTTTTCTAAATCTGGACACTTGGGGAAGGGCCTAGGCCCTCCCAGGAGCGAAATGACAGACTCTAGAAATCCCCCATGGAGGGCCTTACCCTCCCTGGGGAATGGAGAGAGGATTGTGTGCACACACACACACACACACAGGCACTCACATAAAGACATTGAATAGCCAGGTCTGTCAATAGAAGCATAATATCCCCCTAAGTGTCGGAATCTGGGGTAGAGACAAGGATGTGGCAGACATCAGTTGATACTCTGGAGTGGAAATCGAACCCAGGGCTTTGTTCATGCTGAATAATATACATCAAGTGTACCAAGTGAACTATATCACCAGTTTCTTAACATGGATACATAAAACTACTGTGAACAACTTTATACTAAATAATATACATCAAGTGTACCAAGTGAACTATATCACCAGTTTCTTAACATGGATACATAAAACTACTGTGAACAACTTTATACTGAGATATAAAATACAGGATAAAGCTATCCAAAGGAAGAAAATAGTTCAAATAATGCATTATACTCCTCCTTAATCTGCAGACTGGTATCATGGAAACAGCACAAACCACTGCCCCTGTTCTGGACCATGTATCTTGATACAGCCACAGTGGCTGAATAAAATGACACAGAAGTGACCCCTGGTTATGGAGAAGTCCACACTTGATATGGACACCATGTTATCTTGGGACTTGCAGGAACACATGTGGGTATTTGATGTTTCTGATGGCCACACTTGTTAGTACCATGTGGGAATTAATGAAAGTAGTTTAATAGCAGAAATAGTCTCACGTGTAGTTCTTATTTCTCCCTGATAAATTGCAGCTAGGATTAAAGAGTCATGTCTGTGTCTACGGAGTGCTGAGATTAAAGGTGTGAGCCACCACTGCCTGGCTTAAAGTAGGTAATTTATAAAACAGCGGTCTTAAGTACTTCATAACTCTGGAAGTTCAAGAGCATGGTGCAGATGTCCTCAGCTGTGGTGAGGGCTTCGTGGCAAGGTCTTCACAAAAGGGGTAACATGGAGAAAAAGGGAGTAAGAGATAGAGGAGAGGCCAGGTCCACTTTAGTAACTCACTCCTTGATCCCAGCATGACCCTGCATGAGGGCAGTACCTTCCATTAGGCCCCATCTCGTACAATGTCCTTCATCTACACACATTGGAGACTCAGTACACCAACACATTGGAGACTCTGCACCCCAACACATTGGAGACTCTGCACCCCAACACATTGGAGACTCTGCACCCCAACACATTGGAGACTCTGCACCCCAACACATTGGAGACTCAGCACACTAACACACTGGAGACTCTGCACCCCAACACATTGGAGACTCTGCACACTAACACATTGGAGACTCTGCACCCCAACACATTGGAGACTCAGCACACTAATACACTGGAGACTCTGCACCCCAACACATTGGAGACTCAGCACACTAACACATTGGAGACTCTGCACCCCAACACATTGGAGACTCTGCACACTAACACACTGGAGACTGTACACTAACACACTAGACACTAAGCACTCAGTACACAACACAACCAAACCAGAACATATACCAGTAACACATTCACTTCAAATTGCTATGTCTATGCTTCTTTATATAAATTAACCAATTACCAAAAAGGAAAAAAGAAAACATAATACACACTAATACTGTGACTCACATTTCTCTATATAGCTGCCTAGGGCAGAAAATTAGACGGACTACACTGAGGAAGGTAGCAAAGGCATATGTATTTGTTACCTTTCTAGGTATACTAGGGATCAGAGACTAGTCAACATGGGCAAAGCGTGACTTGAATCCAGGCAGTTTGACGCCAATATGTATTCTTCCAATTTCTACGTGAACACGACTCCAATGAATTTACATGTACAACACTTCTTCCTGATAATAAAAACCTTCTACTCAGATCTGAACGAGAATTTGGAGCAGATTTCCTGTAGAGAAAATACAGAATATGATTCAGAGAAGCTAAAGTATGAGAAACTCGTCTTGTGTTACGATCACATCACCTTACCAACATCCAGCATGCACCATTGCCCCTCCTTGCCCCTCCCCCACCTGTCAGGAGGAAAGAGCAAATCTCTACATATGTTGAGAAGTTTTGAAAACATCAGCAATGGAGTCCATGTTTTCTGCCCCAGAGGTTAAAAGATTGAGACCTTGTACTAGGTCGACATGAGGAATGTTCTTAAAACCCAAGACAGAACACTGCGAAGAGAGAACAGTTAAACATTATACATTTGGGATCAATTTACTCTTTCCCTCTTATCCTCCTTTCCACACTGCTTTTCTATTTTCTTGCTTTGGGACAACTACCAACTATACGGAAATTTACTTTTACAGGCATTCAAGTTTTTTCCCCAGAGTATTTTTGACATTCTTTTGATGTCTGACAAATGAAACACAGATATCACAAATATTAAACAGAATGTATTATGGGTGGAAAGATATATAAAACAATGTTGACTATAATTGTGCGTGTGATGTGTATGTACGTACTAGCATGTGACACACCATTGTCTGCATGCATCTGGGGGCCCGAAGTTAACAGTGGGCGTCCTCCTTGATCGTGCTCCACTTTATTACCTAACCGTGCAAGCCTGCATGCACATGAGTGCGCAGACACACACCCACACCCACACCCACACCCACACACACACAACTAGGAATGGAAAAATGGATAAATGGAGATTGGTGGCTACTCATAAGTAGGACATGAAATAAATGTCTTAATGATTCTGAGATTACTGCTTGGAGTTCTTAAATAAATTACCACCAGACAATAAGGACTAATTTAAGAGGCCATGTTTCAAGAGGGGCAACATTGAGTTTATGCAGTGGACTAAATATTACAAAGTTGCTATGGTGAAGGTTGAGCCATGAGAGGCGATCGGGTCATGGGATCCATGCCCTTATAATCTCTTGAGCAGTGGTTCCCAGCTTTCTTTTGGTTTTGCTTAAATGTTTCTTCACTTCATGTATCCTTGCTTTGTCTGCCTTTGCTTCCACTGTAATTCCTTCTCCCGCCCATGTGGTGAAGAGTTCTATTAACATCCAGATTAAAATGGCATTTCTCATTCTGTCCATTTGTACAAGCATAGGGCTTGGTGCTATGTCTAGTTTACAAGTCCGAAACCCCATTGGAAACCACAGTAACTATCTATCTGTGCTTCTAAGAGATCCACTGTCCTGTTCCTTTCCATCAGAACCCATTCCTCCTATTTAGCTGGTATTCCACTTGGAGATTCCAACAAAAATGCACTAACAAGAGTAGAAACACGGCCAAGGATGGGAAAGACATGCTACTTTCAGAATTACTTTTAGTATTTTGTGGTGGATTTTGGGAGAGAAGGCAGGTACTACAATTATCAGACCTTCTCTGAGGTCTGGGATGTGGTTAAAAACCGGAAACAGTGTCAGTCAGTCAACAGAGTTATTGGAAAGGAAAACTTTATCCATGTCTTCAGTGGTTGCTCCAAATGGCTTGTCATTAACTGACTGGAACACATACTTGAAATACGATCATCACTCCTTGGTCCTTCTTCTGATGGTTCTGACTTGAGAGATATTGAGCTGAAACTGGAAAATTGTAGCTCAAAGTAGAATTCTCAGGCCCTAGTGTCTGCCTAAACTTACCAGAGTGTCTCAGGATAGTTTCAAAATGGCATTTATTTAGATAGCTGCAAACCACTTAATAGGTGTAGTTACAAACATAGTCCAACAGATGTCAGTGTTGCCCTCAAAAACTAAAATCTCCCACAGAAACCCCATGTGTTCCCCTAGGCACCCAGGTGTTCCCCAAGGCAACCCCAGGGCAGAGCAATGCAGATTTTGAACTGCAGCCCAAAGGTAACATCTTCCTGGGATCTAAATAAAATACCTAAATAGGCTCTGTACAGCAAAGTGAAGAGTGGCTTTCATAAATATCGTTACTTTTTAATCATTTGCTGCTGTTTTTGCATGTTTATTATTACTTATAGATTAAGTATACCAAACATTTTCCTATATAGAGGTACAGGATAAATGCTTTAAGCTTTGTAGGGGCATTGATGGTCTATATTGAAGTTTTTCTTTCTGTCGGAGTTCTTTAACACACATGAAAAATTCTACTCTCTCAAATTCAACTAACAGGCTGTTGTCTGCTAGTGACTGCTGCAGTTGAAAGTCCACAGGAAACAGTGAAGTGCAGTTCAGTGAGTGATTTCTGGAGGCTGGAGTCTCTGTGTTTGCAGAGCTCACTGCCAAAACTGCAACTGAGCAAGAATACTTGAAGGCCTTCTTGAGCTCAAAACTATTGTAAATGGTGGAGTTTTACTTTATATTAAGGAGATTTGCAAGCATTTCCAGCTTAATAAGGAACGCCTGTTAAAATTCCCAAGGAGAGCAATTATTGCTCTAAAGCTTTTCTCATTTCTCAGGCTAATGATTGTAAAGGGCTAATGAGATCCCACACTTATAACAGTCTTTAGCTCGGATTACATTCAATAACTTGATAGAATATGTCATTTGAGATTTCTAGCTTTTTCTTCCAAAACTTATGATGCTGTACTAAAACTAAGCACTGTGCTTATTCCATAGATTATATATCAGCTATTACAAACAACAGAAACAGCCGGGCGGTGGCACACTCCTTTAATCCCAGCAATCAGGAGGGAGGAAGAGGCAGACAAATCTTTGCGTTTGAGACCAGCTTAGATCAAGGCTACACAAAGAAACCCTGCCCCGGAAAACATCAAACCAAACCAAACCAAAACCAAAACAGAAACAATTCTACATTGTTCATAAAATACACACCACTGGCAATAATAGTCTTGAATAGACTAGAAAATTGCCTAGGAAAGTTACAACCTATATTTTTATATTTTTATTTTTTTTGCGTTGGGGGTCTCACTATGTAGCCTTGGCCGGCCTGGAAATCTCTATATAGACCAGGCTGGACTTGAGGCATCCAGATCTACCTATGCCTGCCTCCTAAGTGTTGAAATTAAAGGCACGTGTCACCAAGCCCGGCCAGAATCTTTATTTTAAATAAGCACATTTTAAAAGCGCACCATAAAATTATAGTTTTCAAATAAAAATTTCCCATGGGCTCTACCAGGCGTTAACGCCCCTATTCTCTGTTGGGGGCAGTCTGAAAGGATGGCTGTCACCTTCTGGAACTGGCCCATGAACCCATTTGGTTCGTCCTGTCTTAATAAAGAACGGGATATTGGCAAAAGGACAATTTGCCTTGCAGTGTCAAACACAGAGTGGGGGCACAATTGCATTCTGCCACATGTCATGGAGAGTGCTGCTAGTTACAGCTGATCACCAGTCTTTGCCTGGGCCACTGCAGACGCTTAGCGTTTCAGAGAGCATTCGCTCCTCCTCCCCGTGACGGGGGCACCGGTTCCGGCCCCGACGGTCCTGGGGCGCAGCCAGACGCCGGCAGGAGGGAACCCTGGGCTAGCAAACGGGCGGGAGGTCACCATGCGAGCCAGCCCACGCTGGGGGCGGCCGCCCCGTGACGTCAGGGGCCCGCGGGGCCAGCACCCTGGACCCTGAGTCACCGCCGCCGTCCAGAGGTCACCACAGGGTGACAGGAGACGGGGCAGCACCGGCAACGCCCGCTCTCACCCCGCCGGCGGTGGCCGAAAGCTCGAGAGAAGCCGCGGCCGCAGCCCCGCCCGCCTCCGCCCGCCGCGGGGCGCCGGGAGGGTGGGAACGGGACGTTGTTTGGGCGTTGCTAGGAGACGCGGCTCGGGCGCACGCGCGCGCGAGCCTCCCCTGCCCCTCCCCGCCCGTGGGCGGGACTCGGCAGGGGCGGGGCAGGAGCGGCGCGTGGGGCGGAGCCGCGGCCGCTGGCGAGGCCGGGCGAGCACCGTTAGCGGGGCTGGCGCGCGGCGTCGGCCCGGCCGCCGTCAGGCCTCGCCGCTGCCCGGGGACGGACGGACGGACGGACGGGCTCCCCGGCGGCTCGCAGCCGCGGAGGCGGGGCGACGGGGGACCCGCAGCCAGGTGAGCGGCGCGGGTCACGCCCCGGGGACAGCCGCTCGGCGTGCCGACGGGCGGGCGCGGCCCAGCGAGCTCCTGGGCGCGGCGGCTGGCGGCGGCGGTCCCCGGCTGTGAGGCCGCGTCGCCGCGGGGACGCTGCAGGTGCGCGGGGCGGGGCGGGGCGGCCTGCAGCGGGGCTCCGGCTCCCCGCACGCCTCGTTTCCCACTCAACGTCAACAGGTGGTGCCGGAGGGCCGCCCCCGAGCCCTGCGCGGCCGCCCTGGGAGCGGCGGGCACCCGCTCCAATGAGGGCGCCGCGGAGGGCGTGGCGGGGCCCGCCCTGATGCGCTGACCAATGGGATCGCGGGGCTTGGGTGGGCCCTGGGGGTGGGCGTGGCCAGGGCCGAGTCCCAGGCTTCCCGGCGCCGCGGCCGCCAGAGCTGCGCGGAGGTCTTGGCCCGAGAGGAGCCGCGGCGCGGTCCCCGCGCGGAGAGGCGCCGGCCCATGTGTCCTCGCTGGGATCGGGATTCCAGCCCGGGAGGTGAGAGCGCTGGCCTCGGGGAGGGGGCCTGCAAAGTGATCCTGGGTACGCGGTGAGACGTGCCGGCTTAGATCTCCCAGATGGGGTTCCCTTCTCCAATTTTCTGCCAAGAAAAGGTTCTTTCGGTGGCTACGGTGACGTGCACCAGACACCGGTGACTGCGTTGTCTTCAGAGGAGCTTTGGATGTCCGGGGGTCGCGGAGGACAGGGAAAAGGGCACGTTACCCCAAGTGGAGTGGATCAGAGCCTTTTGGCGATGATTATTCATCGTTTGTTTGGGATTTCGTACCTTTCCTATCTCATCTGGCGGGTTGACTTACAGCAAGTTTTATTAAGTCCCTCGCGGTGCTTATTTTTTAGAGAAATCGGAGAAAACCCATTTTGATGTGTTCACAGTAGTAACGTGGTGGTTTCCTCCCCAGCAGTCTCGTAGCTCGATCACCCGGCAAGAGAAATTGTAAGCAGACAAGAAGAACGCATTCGGCTTGGGACTCCATTTGCAGCTGGAAATGGGGAATGGACTGTCAGACCAGACTTCCATCCTGTCCAGCCTGCCGTCCCTTCGGTCCTTTCATATTGTGATTCTGGGTCTGGACTGCGCCGGGAAGACAACAGTTTTATACAGGCTGCAGTTCAATGAATTTGTAAATACCGTACCTACCAAAGGATTTAACACTGAGAAAATTAAGGTAACCTTGGGCAATTCCAAGACCGTCACTTTTCACTTCTGGGATGTAGGTGGTCAAGAGAAACTAAGGCCACTGTGGAAGTCGTATACCCGATGCACAGATGGCATCGTGTTTGTGGTGGACTCTGTTGATGTGGAGAGAATGGAAGAAGCCAAAACTGAACTTCATAAAATAACTAGGATATCAGAAAATCAAGGGGTCCCTGTGCTTATAGTCGCTAACAAGCAAGACCTGAGGAACTCACTGTCTCTCTCAGAAATTGAGAAGTTGTTAGCCATGGGTGAACTGAGCTCATCGACCCCTTGGCATTTGCAGCCCACCTGTGCAATCATAGGAGACGGACTAAAGGAAGGACTTGAGAAACTACATGATATGATAATTAAAAGAAGAAAAATGTTGCGGCAACAGAAAAAGAAGAGATGAGTGGCAATCAGTGCCTTTTATATCGGTGTGGAATAGTTTTCCCTGGGCTGATTTGATGAGTTGAAGAGTGTCTGCAGCCTGGTTTTCCTGCCTGCCTGCCCTCCTGGATGCTGTTAAAGCTTTGTTTTGTTGAACAGTCAGATGCCAACTCTGTTGCCTTGGCGAAGATGAGTAACTGCAATGCTTCTCGAAGTGGTCTCTCCTCCTGACCCACAGGTCTTGTGGTACTACCATTTTGGGGAGCCAGAAAAGGATAGTCATTGACCAGAAAACAATTTTGTGGAAATATTTGACCTGAAGTTAGTGAAATAAAACTTTGAAGAGTGTATGCCTAGCGTTTTGTGCTTGTATCTTGGGGGGAAGTCTTTGCCAAGAAACTGCAGAACAAGGCTTTGTAAACACAAAATGCTAATGAATGGAAATATTAAGGTATATCTATTGTGTGTACACACAAACAGATAAATTGAACACACTGGGATAAGAAGGAAGTATTTTCTGTTTTGAGGTTTTGGCAAGATGATTTTTGAACATTTTTCTGGAATCAGTTTTTAATGGTATCTCTTTAATTCTAGGCAGTGTTTAATTTAGTTGGTCCATCATTAATAAAAATATTTGCAGTATATTCAAGTGCATGAATTAATTTTCTGGACAAGCATGTTTGGGTGTGTAATCTTTAGAAATAGCTATGCATCTGTTTACACAAGTTTAAAACAATCTTTTGGGGGCCTTAGAGCTATTGTAGAAATAGTTCATTGTTAGAAGAACTGTCACTTGAACCTAAAAATGACTCTAATGTAGTAAATATGAACATGCAGACTAAATGCATATGCTTGAATACATGAATGAATTTATGGAGAAAGTGGATTCAATCACGGGTAGTTGCTGTAATACATAGTCTCAAATGATCTAGTTAAAAGATACTTGTTTTATTACTATTTGCTGTCTGGAAGCATCTTTTTTTTCACATATTTTTGTACAATTTTGGGAGGGATGAAAGCTTTATAACCACCTGATGAGTTGTGGAATGAATATGTAAGATACCTTTTGGTGTGTGTTCTGAGCTTTAACTTTTTTGTTTACCAGCTGAACAGTATTTCCAGAGCTTTCTAGCTCTGATCCTAGGAAGAAATAGTACGATACTGCAGCTAGGAATTAAGATCCCAGAAAATGAAGGGGAAAGTGGCAAAGCCATTTCTCGACAGTTAACTGGCGCTATTTCTACTGTAGTAAAAGCAAAATGAAATTACAAGGCGGGGAGAACCTTAATTCTTATCTCCAGGAAAAGACTTATTTCCAGTAATCACGTATTAGCAAATCTGCATATTTCCTATGTTTGAAGCCAACAGCTGCTTGTTCAGAATCCAGCAAGGGAAGTGCACTTTGATAGCAGGACTCATTTTGGTTTTGAGCTTTTAGTTTTTTTTTTTCCAGTACAACTGAGTTTTTAGAACCTTGATTCTTGTTACAAAATGAAGTAGCTCCATGTGGGACTGTCAGGTATACTGCACTAGTGATGGTCACCTAGAATGTTTATGTTCATAGAGCTGTGGATAATAATTACAGTAAATGACCTGAGGCATCAGGAGAACAGTCTAACTTTGAGTTTATACATATTTCCATTTCTGCTGCAGCTCTTAATTAGATGTGTAGAAGGACTTATCAGTTGGACTCTATTTAGTTTTATAATAGTTTGGACTTTACTGAGCTTTTCACACAAGGCTATTTTCTGGGAGATTATTTTCCCCCTTATACTGAATTATTCAGGATCCTCTCCCAAATCCCTAAGTCCATGATGGGATAATGAAGCTTGTTTTCCTCAGTTCTAAATCAGTTTAGATTTTCACTGCTCCCTTTCTCTGTTCTTGCTTTAGAAAGTAGTTTGGGCCAGGGATGGTGGCTCATAGATTTAATCCCCACACTCAGGAGGCAGAGGCAGGTGGATCTCTGAATTCAAGGCCAGTCTGGTTTGCAGAGTGAGTTCCAGGACTGCCAGGGCTATATAGAGAGACCCTGCCTCAAAACGAAAAACGGAGTTTGTGTTAACTATCTCTTGACCCTTGTTTTTGTAGCTAAGTGGGGCAGCAAGTCTATATTTAAAGGACAGCAAAAATGGGCATTGCATGAAATTGTATTTATATAAGCCATTTCAATTAAAATTTTACATATTGGTAAATTCGAAGTCTATCACCTGTTACAGCTGGCAGCCACATAAGCTAATGAGACTCTCAGTCTCAGTTTAGGGACTGCTTACGTGTCTAGGGTTTTGATTTTCAGTTAAGGCACTCTTTTCCAAAGCATATTTGTCTTTTTGAAGTGTCAGGGATCAAACCCTGGGCCCCAGGTATGTAAAGCATCCTATCAGTGAGCTACATCTCCAGCACCTAAAATAGATTTCTAAAGTAGTTGACTATTTTCGAAATGAGTTGGTTTAATATAAACTATTAATTGGGTTAAATTAACTACTGTAGAATAAAAAGTTCTAAAATATATAAAGACTCAGATATCCAAAGTTATAAATGTATGTTTTAGTCTGATAGATTCATTAATAACCATAAAATGAGGTAAATCCTTGTTGAGAGCTAAAAAGTACAGTGTTAGGATATATAGAGGAATTGATGACTGACCTGTGGGTGGATGGACGGTGACTTAAGAGCGAGTAAGAAGCACATAGATTTAGAGTGCAGTTGTAGGAGTTAGGATTATCAGGTGTGGTAGGTGCTTGCCTGTCAGGTATGAGGCTCTGGGTTCAATTCCTAACACTGCAAATGAACAATAAGCCATTATAGGATTGGTTTGTTGAGAATAGTTCATTGTTAATAATGACCTTGAGAGAAATCTGCTTATAGTATTTAGTGTTCTATTTAATGTAGCAGTTTAATCATATAAACAATGATTTTACTGGAACAACGATACAAAAGTGTTTCTTAATAATACATTAATAACTCTTAATAATAAATTAATGCAACTTGGAACCTTGGGTTAGACTGTCATTTGAAGTTCAATTTTTTTACTGCTGGGTACTGGGATGATGTTAACCATGTACTACCATACTTGGATTGTGATTTTATATTAAAGTTTTCATTTTTGCAGAGCATTCTGGAAATGGATGGTATTGATATAGAATATTTAGGTCATTTTCTTTTTTTTTTTTTTTTTTTTTGAGACAGGGTTTCTCTGTATTGTTTTGGAGGCTGTCCTGAAACTCGCTCTGTAGACCAGGCTGGCCTCGAACTCACAGAGATCCACCTGCCTCTGCCTCCCGAGTGCTGGGATTAAAGGCATGTGCCACCAACACCCGGCAGGTTCCTTTTCTTATTAAGAGTTTCATATGAGAAAACAAAGGATACCAAAAATACCATAAATTAATATTAAAGACAAAAGATATTGCCAATAGATCACAGCCAGAGAATATTCCAATTCTATGCAAATTCAAAGTATAGGAATATCAAATGAAATGCTAGGTTTGGTGAAGAATAATTGTGCTAACTAAAACCAGCATGAGGTTCAGCCAGTGTCCCAGGCCTGATGCTTTTTGGTTATACATGTAGCCCTTTGAGTACATGCTTTGTAACTTGTGAGTGTCCTGGTAACACGGAGACCCACCTAGCTTGAGAAGGTTGAGGGAAATAATGTGTGTAAACTATTCTTACTGAGTAGGGATGTGCTGAGTTGCAGTGTGGCATGATAATGGCCACATAAGCCCCTGCTTGATAATGGAGCCTGCTTACTAGACTTGTCTTGATCAGTTTAATATGGGTCTCTTGCTTCTTCACTTGTAAGCCAAGGTCATGTCTATTGAATGAAAGGATTAAATGCATTTGTAGTTTGAGGACTTGACTCATAGTAAGCATTGAATACATTAGTAGCTGGAGTATTTTCTTGCATCTGTAGTTGAAAAGAAGACATTTGGAGTAGGAATGACGGAAGGCCATAGTATGTTTTTCTTAGGACCTGTGTGCCATAACACAAAATGGCAGTTTGGTAGAACTCAGGAAAGTCTAAGCATCCTCAGTTCTTAGAAATTTAGCTCATTTTCTTTGATTTCTGTAGCGTTTGAGTACAATAAAAGTCTTAACATTCCCCCAGGAAACAAAAATTAAGAGTTTCAGTTATTTTCTAGGTAGTGAGAATATACTACTCTACAGAACTTGAAAATTCAAAACCAAAGTGTGGATCTTTGAAATGCTTGTTATTTTTAGATTTCTTTCAGTCTGGGGGGGGCTTTTCTACCCCCACCCCACATTTAAGACATCCCAGAACCCTGAGTACTAGCCTATGCTCTACCACTGAGCTGTCTCCTTAGCTCTTCAGCTCATGTTTTACATGGTTTCTTTTGCTGCAATCGATGCTACCCATACCGGGCAAGATGGTTTTATAAGTAAACTGGGTGAAAAACAAAAAACAAATACTGGCCTAAGTAAGTCCAATGGGGGGGTTCTTATCCCAGTTTTATAATGAGGGAGAATGAACGCATTGGTGAAAGGCTGGAGAGGTGGTTTATCAGTCACAAGCACACATTGCTCTTGCAGAGTACCAGAGTTCAGTTCCCAGCACCCACACTGGGGCTCACTGCTGCCTGTAATTCCCACAGGGTTGACGCCTGTGACTTCCTGGGTACGCACACACACTAAAAACAATGAAAAGTAACCTTTAAGGCATCACTGAGATTGTTCCATACCTAGTGGAGAAGATGTGACTGCATCACAGCTTCTGAATGACCAGCTGGGTGAGATGCGGCAGTGATGGGCAGGAAGCGTTGTTAGCTGGGAAGCTGTGGAAGTCCAAAGCCTCGGCCTCCACTCCAGACCGAGGAATGTGAAGCTCTAGGGTTGGGCCCAGCAGTCTTTGTGCTTACACCGTCCAGGTGAGTGTGGCACTCATTGAAGTTAATCACTGCACTAGTGTAAAGCCAGGCATTTGTTATAGAACATAAGATGACCGGGGAGATGGCTCTGTGGTTTGGGGCTCTCCTATCTCCAGCAGTAGAAAGAAAGTTGAAAGAGACTTAGTAGAAAAAAATATTGTTGAATACTGTATAATTCAGACCTTTTATTATGGTTTGGTTTCAAAGACGGTGTCTCACTCAGTTGCCTAGGCTGGGCAGGAGTTCTCCATGTAGCCCAGACTGGTCTTGAGCTGCCAATCCTGCCTCACCTTACTGAGTACTAGTGTTCTAGGCATGAGTCTCTAAACCTCAGACCTTTGAAGAAGTACTTTCACAGAAGCACAGTGCTTGCCTTACTTTTATTACTTATTTTTTTGAGACAGGGTCTCACCGTAGCTTAGAGAGATCTGGAACTCACTGTGTTAGCCCAGGATGGCTTTGAA